CCCCTCCCCCCCCCCCCCCCCAATAAATCAAATAGTCAAAGTCCAGCAGAGTTTTAGCATCTTCGGTGTGCAGGCACCCCTTTGCCATGCTTGGAAGGAGGAGCAGATCTCTAAATCCTTGTAGAAGGAATCTGGCTTTTTTTTAATGTCACTGAGACGGCTAGCTGCATCCTAAAGTCTTGTGTCAACGAAGGTGCCTCTTTGTCGTCCTTGTTTTATTTGTAACTGCCTGTGTCAGCACTTGTCTTCATTGGCAGTTCATTTCTTTCTTCAACAGGGCTTCAAGATAAAGAGGTCCCCTGGAAGAAGGACCTTCAGCTCTTTGACTGTTGGAAAGGTCAGTGGAGATTACAGGTTCGGTCAGGTATGCTCTCGGTTTGCTTGTGTCTGTATGCCAACACATACCCGAGCGCTAACTCAGAGTTACACAGGGGGAATTGCCAGCGTGAACAGGCACTGTCATTTAAACTGTTCTCACCAAACAAGAATCCAGACCCTCAGTTCAATGTGAGTGCAGGATGCTTAGCTTTCCTTCTGGGACTGGGCACCACATAGGAGCAAGCCCATAGTTATCACAAATGGCCAAGCTCTGGCTTCTACACACATTATGAGAGGCACTGCGGTTAGATTTTCCTGCTCAAGTGGAAGCGTTTATGGCCCGTTGGTCCCTTCTGCCTAGTCACACAGGGGCCAGCTTGCGCTTTTTATCACTACTAGGTTGCCATGCCTGCTAAGTTTTGTTCTTCCAAAGGGTTCTGGTTGGAAGGTTAAACAGTCTCTAGAATAAAGCCCATCTTCCATTATGCCCCACAGGTCTTTAATATTCTTGCTTTTATTTAGCTTTTATAACTTTGTTTTCACAAGAATAGCAAAGATAATACCTCAAAACTAGGAGGGACTAACAGATTAATGTATCAGGATCTGAAATACACAGCTATATATCCTTCTTCGCTTTAATGTCATATGTATCCATTTGCACACAGGTACAATAAATCTTTTTCTCAACTATAGAAAAAGTTTGCTGCTCCTCATTTACTAACCCTTGGGGATTTGTCCGTTACTTCCCTCTCTATTATTAGTCACCTCTCAAGACTCGTCCTGTTCTCAGTCCATCTCCCTGTTGTTTGTATATTTATTTTGCTCAAATTCCCTGCAATCCACCTGAATCATTGTTTTCCATTCTGATGATTTTTCTATGCCTTGTTCTTGCCAAAAATTCTCCTTGTTTAATTTCCGATTTAATTTCCTATTTAATATCCAGTGGATCTTAATGGCTCTATCCCAGCTAAACCCTACTGAAATCTCCCCAGGAAAATGCTTTTTTCCCTCCTGCTGCCGGTTGGCACTGTCTTTCCTGCTTGGATGGCTGCAAATGCGCAACCACAGGTTGGTTACGAGTGCCTGCCCGATAATGTCATCGCGTCCCAGCACTGTGTCTTTTGTCTCTGCAGAAGGCAAAACAGGGGTTCCTTTTGTCGATGCCAACATGCGAGAGCTGGCCGCAACGGGCTTCATGTCTAACAGAGGGCGGCAGAACGTTGCCAGCTTTCTCACCAAGGACCTGGGTCTCGACTGGAGAATGGGGGCAGAATGGTTTGAATACCTGCTGGTAAGAGCGAACCCATTGTGCGTCCGGAGTCGTTTGTGCTCTCTAGCCTGGGCGACAGACAGAAGGGCAGCTCTGCCTGATAAGGATACAGAAGGTGGTCAGTACTTTTCAGGATGATATAAGTGCATGTATATAGTACTTGCATTTTATGTACCTCCCAAAGCTAATGTAAGAAAAGCGAGTTTTGCTGCTGTGAAGTTGCCATCAGCCAAGATGTAGATGTAGCTAGGAAGTTTGCAATGATGTTTTTGTTCTTCCCATGTAGGCTTTTAGAGCCACTTGAGAAAACTATAAAGCACTTGAGAAAACTATAAAGCATAAAATATCTTAACAATGCTCCGATTTGCTCACCCCAGAGACTGGGCAGAAGGATAGCCCAGAAATAGAACATAAAAATGAGTACATTTTGGCCATGAAGCCCATGTTGGCACAGCATCTTTCCATTGATCGCTCTGGATAGGGAAGTCTTCTAGCCAAGAACAGGCAAGTATGGACAATGGCTGGATCAGCTTCCAGAGGTCTCCACCCTGGTTGGAGGCATCCTTCTTCACCCTGGTGAGTCACAGGCCTTCTTGCCAACTGGAGCACCAGCTCGACTTGTTTCTCTTATGCCAATCAGCAGGCATGCAAGCTCAGTTAGATAGCAGGGCTGCTCCACCCCTGGCCTCCACAGCTCCTTCCCAGGAGGGTCTGAACAGGCTCACAGTCCCCAGTTCAGAAGCCTGGGCAGGACTGTGTATGTTTGCTTGGTTGCCATTATCTTCTCTTTCTTTTAGTATTACCAAGCTGTGTTGTGAAAACTGATGCTGAGGAGCTGAAGTTCTTCACCAGAATGGTACAGATGTAATAAGACCAAATATTAGTGTCAGCCTCACATTGACTTTCTGGTCTGTGAGGTACAAGAGGCTGTTGATAATCAGGAGATTTTCCACTCACTGGTATGGCTGGAGATACAAAGCCCAGTCACCTTGCCACTGCCTGCAATTAAAAGATCCCTTTCATTAATGTAACAGTTTTGAGCTTCCTTGGAACAGCGCTCCGACACGGCTTTGGCTGCAGAGATCCACAGTAAGACCTGGCTGCTCCTCCCATTGCTGTGACTCACACTAGTGCAGTGAGCAGTGGTGGGTTTGCACAGTTGCACAGTGTGGTCAGGACTCCTCCAGGACCCTCCAGAAAGTGGTATTGGTAGCTCCACACAGTGATGCTTTTCCAGATAAGACTTAGAGCCCGCAGCACGTGAAGACGTATTTTGGAAAAGCAGTAGCCTTATCCTTCATATCCTGGCTAGAATACAGGATGGAAAATCTTAAACTGAGTACATTTCTTCTGCAGTTTCAGTGGGATGTAAAAGATAGCTGATACCCTGCTTGCGTAAAGCTTCTGATGAAGAAGGCCAGTAGGGGCTGCATTTCAGCATGGATGACATAGCTCCTGTAGACTAAATGCACTGCGTGTGGCACATGGTGACCCTCCAGAAGAATGGTACACCGCTGCTGAGGAACACACACAAATGTGCAGGCGCATCTGCCCATGCCTGTCCTGCAGAGTGAGCCACTAGGACCATTTTGAATGGTTTGTAATATGGGGCTTTTGATGGCGTCTATCAGCTATCTTTCGGAGCAGTTACAAAGGTGACTCCATTTCACAAAAAAGAACGCTTGATGCCTGTGAAAGTGGGCCTCTTACTCAAGGCCACCAGTGATCAAGAGTTGGCCATCAGGAACTGAGGCTGCCGTTGGGCCCCTGCAAACACAAAATCTTTCCCTCACCCACCCCTACTCAACTGCAAGAGCAAGGTGTTACCAGGAACTTCTGGCAGGTAATTCTGGGCTCAGCAGTTGATACAGATAGGAACTTCATATCAATATTGTCTTGGAGTAAAATTGAACAAGAAAACACTAGCTTGGGCCAGGGTGCATCTCCAACTTGTGAGGTCTGAGTCATTTTGGAGTTAACCCTCCCCTC